CACTGGGGCGGCTGTCCAGGCAGGGCGGCTGGTCTGGGCTCGGGCCAGGAAAATACCTGGAGGCCGGCTTCCAGGCTGGGAGCCAAGCTCTCAGCATCCCCCCGCAGTCACCCTCCTCCTCACTTCCACCCCTTTCCCTCTGCTTGTCGCCAGCCTGGAGCAAGATTCAGGCTGGAGTCACAGCTCTGTTCCTCACGTGATTTGACCTCTGAGCCACAGGTTCACCTGTGTGCGTGGGGTCAGATAACCACAGCGCACGGGGCTGCTCTGGGGGCTAGAAGGGAAGGCGGGCACAGCTGAAGCCATCGTCTTGTTACAGCTTAAATCAGATCCCGTCACTCCCTGCTTTATACATCTTCCTCTTGACCAAAGCGGACTGACAGTGGTCCCACCCAGTGGGGCTGTGAGGGTGAAATGAGGTAATTCACGTAAAGCTCTGAGCAGAGGATTCGGACGACAATCATTCTCCATAGACTTTAGATGCTGCTGTTATTCTGCTGTTAATACTTCCAGTGATTAACTCACTGCCCACCGCCAAGTCCCGGGTAACCAGTTTGATTAAGCACAATACCCTTTCCCAGGAGCTGGGCGGGTGAGGAAACCCTGGCACCATTCCCTTTCTTCCAGCACAGTGCCTGGTGCAGTGATGATTTATGACACAGACGATTTATGAAATGGCAGTTGGTGGTGAAGAGTCAAGGATTAGGTATTCTAGATCCAACTTTGCCCATAGAATGGACTCCCCCCTGGTCCATGAGGTCTGATTTATCAAGTGTTGCTTGCCTCTTGGACTTCGTTTCCCACACCCCTATCTCCCCGACAGTTCCTGGTGTTACCACTTTCCCCTTCACCTCAGGACCTTTGCACTTGCTGCTCTCTCTGCCTGAAATGTATCCCATCTCTCTCCCTGACTCCATTTTTTGATCTTCGCATGATTCTTTCCTCTTTATCCTTCAGGCTCAATTATCACCTCCTCAGAGAAGCCTTCCCTGATTCCCTATTACAAAGTGGCCTCCTGGGCTCTCTGTTTATTATTTATTATAGCACTTGTCAGAAACTGAAATGATCCTATTTCTGTGTTTATTGTTTGTTTTCCCTACCTGAATGGCAGCTCCACGAAGGCTGGGACCTGGTCTGTCTTGTTCATCAGTTTACCCCCTGGGTCTAGAATAGCGCTTGGCATGTTGCAGTCACTCAGTAAATACTGGTGGAGCAGATAAATAAATGATGGAGGATTAGATGAAATAGTCTAAGTGTGTAGAATGCTTAACACAGCCCTGACTCACCGCGAGTGCTCCCTGTATGGCAATCATCAATACTCTTATTGTTGTTGCTGTATTTCCCCCAACACCTTTGCCCCCTCCAGCCAAGCAGAAGTGTGGTTTCTTCCTTCTGCTGCTTCTCCTGGTCCAGCCCCTGCCTCAGTTGCTCCCCGTTCCTTTTCTCCCTGTTCCAGTCATGGCTGGGTACAGTTTCTGATTTCCTGCAGTAAGCAGAGCACCCACAAAATTGGAAAGAGCAGTGACAAAATTAGCAGTCAGCCAGAGCAGGAAAAATGCCGTAAGTCAGCCCTGAAGATCAAACTCCTTTGTCAGCCATCCCATAATTATCCACTGGCTCGGCTCTTGGTGGGATGGGAAGAGAGAAAAGGAATTTTATACATTTATTAATTTTTCCCCATCTGCTTGGAGTCCTGCTGAAATATGGCTTACGAGCCACACTGAAATCCTGCCTGACTGGAGGCCTTGATGGGCTGAAGGTCTGAAGCCCGGCTCCTGGCAGGATGTGGGTCTGAAATGCAACCTTTGGACCCTGTGCCATGCGTAGGAGGAATGAGGATTGTGGCCCCGGAGCCCAGCTCAGGGCCTGACACTGGGGAGATGCTTGGTACACAGACACACATGATTTATGGAATGACGGTTGGTGGTGAAGGGTCAAGACTAGCTGTTCCAGGTCCAGCTTTGCCTGGTCTCACTGTGTGGCCTGGGCACAGCTCTTAACTTCTCTTTCTTCATCTGCAAAACGGGGATAAACTTCTGCTCCTTCCTGACCCACAACCTTGTGGAGACAAGCAAGAACGGCAAAAGGTGGGAGAGTTTTGAAAAGAGGAGTTCCAAACCTCTCAAACCCAGCCCTCTCCATCATTCCCAAAGAATGATGGTAGACGGTGAGACTCTTAACTCAGAAGTTCTGAGCAGTTTTCAAATGTCTTCAGAGGCATGCGGGAGGAGGAGGCAGGGGAGGGGGAGTAAAAGGGGAAGGGTACAGGGGGACAGGAAACACTGTTTACCTTCGAGTAGTTTTAGGGCAAGTGTTTCTGAAGAGGAGTCTGTTTCCTATAGTGATAGAGATAGACTGGAATTCCAATCTTTATTCTGAGGCTCCTTGGCTGTGTGACTTGGGACAAGTCACTTGACCTCTCTGAACCTCATTTTCCTCATGTGTAAAAGGAATAACAAGGATCCCCACCCCAAGGGGCTGTGAGGATGAAATGAGGTAATTCATGTAAAGCTCTGTGCAGAGCATATTTGGACAACAGCAATTCTCCATAGAAGTCAGGTACTACTATTATGACGCTGCTAATGATAGTGGTGTTAAGTCCACTGCCCACTGGTAAGTCCCAGGCAACCAGTCCACTAAGCACAACACCTTTCCCAAGAACTGGGTGACCGCAGGGAAACCTTACCACCCTTCCCTTTCTATCTTGGGCTGCCACCTACTGGCGGGGATCAGAATTACAGCTACTGGAAAGACCTCTCTGTGGCTTGGGGAACAGATACACCTCCTCCCCTCACGGCCCCATCCTCACTCCGGCGGGAGAGCAGTGGCATGTTGGTGGGCAGGGGGTAGGGAAATATAAGACCCAAATTCCGAGGTCATGAGTACCTTGCAGAGATTCCTGAAGGCTTGTCCACCCCGATGATGAGAAAGTCAGTTCCCAAGTCTTGTCCATTTTATTTCCTGAATATCCCTGAGACTGGTCCCCTTTTTCCATCCTGTCTCCTGGCCAAGCCACCACTCTCTCTCCCTGGATGATACAGCAGCTTCCTCACTGGCCTTCCTTCCTCCACTCCCTTCTCCATACATCAGCCAGGAGGAATTTCTTAAAAACTGCATATCTGATCATGTCGACCCCAGCTTAAATCTCTCACTGTGTCCCCAGGGCTCCTGGGCAAAGTCTGAGACCCTTTGGCCAAGCCCACGGGCCCTTTGGGCTCTCAGCTCTGCCGCTCAGCCCTTGGGTCCCACCCTCTGCCCCTTGCAGGCCTGGTTCATGCTCTTGCTTCACCTGGCATACCCCTCCCTCCCCTCTGCCTGGTGAACTCTGACACACCCCAAGCCTCACCGTGGTTGCTGCCTCCTCCAGGGTGCCTTCCCTGCTCCTGCAATCTTTCCCCTAACATGGTCCTTATCAAGCCATATTGCCTCTCGATCTGTGTGCCTCCTAGACTACGAGCAGGAGCCGTGCCTGGTTTTCTTCACCAAGGTATCCCCGGTAAGTACCCAGTTCCTGACACATAGCAGGTGAGCAATAACTTTTTGCTGAGTGAGGAAACTGACTCCTAGTGGGTAATAGACTCAGCGTTACAGACTCAACTCTCTACAGCTGTTGTTTTTGGACTCTCTGTCCTGCCCCAATCTCAAACTGACCTGGGGGTCCCTACAGTGGCCACAGTGCCCTGAGATGACGTTGAGAGTCTGACGGGTGTTGGCCACTTTGTGATGCTCGCCCCAGCGAGGCCCGGGGTGGCCTCGAGAAGTGACATTTAAGGACATTGCCTGCAGGCAGGGTGGTCTTGTCTCTCAGTCCAGGCCTGTGCTCAGTCCCATCCAGCTGGCCACGCCCACTGCCTCTCCTAGGATGGGTCCCCCAGAAGCTGACTTTGGGATGAGGATCTCATGCAGGTGATTTATTAAGGACTGGCCCCTGGGGGGACACAAGTAAGGGAGTGGGGGAGCAGAGGATGGGGAAGTGGAAGCAACTGAGCAAAGGGACGCTTCCAGGCAAAGTCCCAGCTTCAATTTGAGTCCCCAGGGAACTCTGGAGTATAAATTACGCCTCATGGTTGTCCTGCCCCAAGACCAGAAGCTGGGCTTTCACATTCCCAGCCAGGCAGTCATTAGCTATGGACCATCCCGGGCTGATGTGAACTCTGGCGCTTCCTGGCCTCTCTTCTTTTTTTTTTTTTTAATTAATTAATTTATTTTTGGCTGCGTTGGTCTTCCTTGCTGCACGCGGGCTTTTCTCTAGTTGTGGCGAGCAGGGGCTACTCTTCGTTGCAGTGCGCAGGCTTCTCATTGTGGTGGCTTCTCTTGTTGCGGAACACAGGCTCTAGGCTCGCGGGCTTCAGTAGTTGTGGCACACAGGCTCAGTAGTTGTGGTTCACAGGCTCGAGAGCGCAGGCTCAGTAGTTGTGGTGCACGGGCTTAGTTACTCCACGGCATGTGGGATCTTCCCGGACCAGGGATCGAACCCATGTGCCCTGCATTGGCAGGTGGATTCCCAACCACTGCGCCACCAGGAAAGCCCCCTGGCCTCTCTTCTTTGCACCTGGGAGCAAAGAAATTTCAAGTAGCCCAAGGGCAGTTCTCCCAAGAAGAGTGCAGACTGACCAGTCTCAGCACAGGCTGCGAGAGACGACATGGGTGGGGCACCAACCTTCTCGCTGTGCTGCCCTTCCAAGCTCCCTGTCTCCAGGAGACCCTTCCCCGATTCCCTGATTCATCCTGTTGACGTTTTCTTTTCTTTTAATATTTATTTTATTTATTTATTGGTTGCCTGGGTCTTAGTTGCGGCTGGCGGGCTCCTTAGTTGCAGCTTGCCATATCCTTAGTTGTGGCACACGGGCTCCTTAGTTGCAGCATGTGGGCTCGTTAGTTGTGGCATGCTGGATCTTTTTTAGTTGCTGCATGCAGACTCTCAGTTGCAACTTGCTGGCTTCTTAGTTGTGGCATGTGAACTCTTAGTTGTGGCATGCAGGTGGGATCTAATTCCCTGACCAGGGATCAAACCTGGGCCCACTGCACTGGGAGCAGAGTCTTAACCGCTGCGCCACCAGGGAAGCCCCCCGCATTGACATTTTCTTCCTTCTTTGAAGTGTTGTGCAATGCAGCTTCTAAAAAAGTACCACAACCAGGTGGTCCTTTTTAAAGAGTGGCCCCTGCTGAGAGCTCTGCCTAGCCCTGTTCCTGGCTATGAACTCACTTTAGCAGTCTTTTTGGTCCTCTTTTAATTTTATAAGGTATTTTTGCTTGTTTTAAAGAAAAAAAATCAAAAATACAGAAGTCGTGTGTGGTAATCATGGACACTGCCTGCACCTTCATCCCCAGAGAGGGTATCTGGCCAGATGTTTTCCCAAACATCTTATATACATATTTTCTTCTTTGACTTCTGCTGATGTGGCTATTTTATCTTATTTAATGTCCACAAGCCCCTGAGAGACTGATACCCTCCCCGCATTTCTCAAAGGAGAACTGTGGCTCAGAGAGGTGACGTGACCTGCTCGTGTCCAGCTACCGGGTAGCAGGGCCAGTGCTCAGAGCCGGGCCAGGCTTTCTGTCCGGCCATGCTGCCTGCGAGGTGTAACTACCCATTAGAATGGAAGTGAGTCAGCTAAGAGAAACTGAGGGGCTTGGTCAGGGTCCAGGGCCTTCAGAAGCACCCTCCCCCCACCCCAGGATTGACCAATTGGTCCTGGGGGTCAGGAAGGAAGGGCACTGGGGTTCAGGGGCAGCCCTTTGTCAGCACGTCAGGTGTGGGAGGAGGGTCCTGCCACTTGGAACAAAAAGGGAGGATCGGAGCAAATCCATTTGCTCCCAGTGCTGTCAAGCGGTACATGGATGTGGGCGTCTGTGTAAGTGGTCGGGGGCGGGGGGGCTGCCAGCAAACTCTCCCCTGAGAGTGAGCTACTGTGCTTGGGGGAGGAGGGGCTATGGAACCGGCAGGTGGCTGGCTGGGCGCCTTCTGCTGACTTCCTCAGTCAAGCCTGCTCAAGGCCCTCTGAGCTGGCCGTGATCATGGATCACGACTGCAGCCCCTGTCCCAGCCTGCCATGGCCCCTGTCACAGGTTCCCGCACTCTGTCCTTCTCTACCTCAGGCCCTCTTGGCCCGTTTGAAGCCCTGCCTGTCCCCAGAGCTTGGTAACTGTGAGCCCCACGCCAGTGGAGTGCACAGGACTTCAGCTTCTGCTGTCCCCCTGCTTGGGGCGTTTGCCCTTGGGGCCTGGACATCTTCTCCACGAGCCTTGCAGTCTCCCCGGTACACCCTCCAGGAACCCGAGTACCGGTGTTCTCTGCTCCCATGCCTCTCCCAGGATTTGGTCTGCCCCCTGCCCCCCGCCCTTCTCAGAGACCCCAGTCTGGGTCTTACCACCATATCCCTTGGGCCTCACCACTTCAGTGGCCTCCAGCAGCTGGTATTGACATCTCTCGGCCAAGGACTCTCTGCAAAGGCAAGAAGGCCGCTCTTTCCCACACAGGTCAGACCAGAAGGGCCCAGGAATTCACATCAGCCCCAACACCAGCAGCCCTCCAACGATGGCCGATGGGAGTTGGTGTATAAGTACCCCAGCTCCCTCCCCTCTGCCTGAGATCTCTGAGGTGTGTGTCCTGCACCGATTCCTAAGGGTTCCCCGTGGGATTAAGTTCCACTCACCCCCAGCAGTAGCTGAGTCGACAACACACCCCTTCCTGGCTGCCTTCTCTTTTCTGTCTTACTTTCCCATCTGCTATGGGTGTTTTCTAGAATCACTTCCCAAATAAACAACCTGCACTCGAATCCTTATCTCGGGGCTGCTCCCGAGGGAACCCACACAGAGACAGCCGGGATGTTTTCCCCGAAGCCTTTCGGTCTGGCTGTTCCTTGCAGCCTTTCTCAGATCTCCTTGCTTCCTTCCCCTCTCCAGATCTGGATTTTCTCCAGCTCGCACTCAAGCAGCAGGTGAAGACAGTGTTCTCCGTGTCTGCTCCTCTGGCTGTCTCTGTTGCTGTGGATCTTACCCCTCACACTGGGAGCCAAGGATTCTTTCACACCTAAAAGTAATCCCTACGGAGCCGACCTCCTTTCTAGCTGCTTAACCAGGTGCTTGAAGCCGTCACCAACCTGTTGGAACTTGTGGCCGAGCAGACTCAGTCTAGACCACCCCAGGGGAAACGCTGCACATCAAGGGGTGGGAAAGTTTGTTCAAAATCATCAAAAATAAAATTTAATTGTGCTCAGGTGCAGGCAGTCCGTCCTGTCCTTCCTTGGGAGCCACAGTCAGCAGTCCCTGAAGGAAAGCACACCTGTTCTCTCCACAGACAGCCGGCTCCGGAAGCACCCTCTGAGGCTGGCCACCTCCAGGTAGGACGCCTCCACCCAGGGGGGGCTTTGTTTCCAACGGGGGAAGCGTGCAGGGTACTGGAGGACCCTCAGCACGTTCCACACTTCCGTTCCCTCTCCTGTCTCCTCCTCTGCTGGCCGTCTCCTCCTGTCAGTCTGGCTCGCAGTGAGCCTGGGCTCTGACTCCTAAGTCAGGCAGGAGCATCCTCAGGCCCTGGCCCAGGAAGAGCAACAGTCGCCCTAATATACCTTCTGGGGCACACAGCCCTCCAGCTCCAGCAGCTCCGGCCAGCCGTCATATTTATTCACGTCTGGGCTGTTCTTTAAGAACTAGAGAGACAGAAGAGAGACATTGACAATGTTAGGACTCACGCCTGCATTTGCGTTGTGCTTTAAAACCTAAATCGCTTCACTTCATCCTCGCTACTGCCCCATGAGGGCCATGGGAGGGTTGGATATTTCCAGCCCATTTCACAAATGGGTAAACTGAGGCTGGGGAGGGCAACTTGCCCAAGGTTTCAGAGATGAGATCAGGGCCTAGTCACTGCCTGTCTGCCCTGGACAGGGGGCGCTGTTACCAAGCATGTGGGGAGTGGTGCTTGAAGAGCTTTAGCCCCTCTAGGACGTCCCAAATGATAATAATAATAAGAAGAAGAAGAAGAAGAAGAAAAAGGAGCGTCCTAGCTGCAAACTATTATATGTCGCATGGATAAACAGCAAGGTCCAACTGTGTAGCACAGGGAACTATATTCAATATTCTGTGATAAACCATAATGGAAAAAATATTTAAAAAAGAAGGTATAGAATGTATATGTATAACTGAATCACTTTGCTGTACAGCAGAAGTTGACACAACATTGTAAATCAACTGTACTTCAATAGAAAAAGGAAGCATTCTAGAAATTCATGAATGCTTGCTCTATGCCAGGCACAAAGCGCCTTCTGTAATTAATCCTCACAGTAGCCCTAAGAACTGCTCGCTGTGATCATCTCACCTTACAGATGGGGAAACTGAGGCACAGAGAACCAAAGTAACCGCCTATGACTACCCAGTTGGTAAGTCGTGGAACCACTGTGTAATATTAATTAATAATAAATGTATAAAGAGAATAAAATCAGTTAAGATGGTGTTTAAAATGCTCAGGCTTAATTTATGGAAAAAAGAATGTAAATGATAAAATCTACAGGTGGGATAACTGTGGCTAACCCTTAGGAAGGAAAAATAAATTCTAGATGCTGCTTCTCTGAAACCCCGTTTCCCATGTGGGAGAACAAAAGACAGAATGGTGTTAATCACGTCGGGGGTCTTTGGTTCATTTTTGGGTGATGGGGTGCAGTCAGCTGATCAGACATCAGAAAAAAGGTGGTGCCGACTCTTCTCTACTTACGTGCCTCCTCTCTGCTGTAATTGGCCCAGTTTTGTTGGGGCTGGAAGCTGCGCTTTAAGGAAGAACAGCGCCCGCCCTGCCTCTTCCTAGAGAGTCCTGCCCCTGACACCTTCCAAAGGGACATTCTGGAGCCCCAGGCCCCTGCCCCTGTGTCCTTCACCCAGAGGGTATAAACAGAGGGTCCTCTCCTTTTCTCCTTTAGCACAAGCTACTTTGCACTATTCCTTACTTTTTTTTAAAAAAAATTATTATTTTTGGCTGCGTTGGGTCTTCATTGCTGCACGTGGGCTTTCTCTAGTTGTGGTGAGCGGGGGCTACTCTTCGTTGCAGTGCGCGGGCTTCTCATTGCAGTGGCTTCTCTTGTTGCAGAGCACGGGCTCTAGGCGCACGGGCTTCAGTAGTTGCGGCATGTGGGCTCAGTGGTTGTGGCTCGCGGGCTCTAGAGCCCAGGCTCAGTAGTTCTGGTGCACGGGCTTAGTTGCTCTGCGGCATGTGGGATCTTCCCGGACCAGATTTCAAACCTGTGTCCCCTGCATTGGCAGGCAGATTCTCAACCAGTGTGCTACCAGGGAAGCCCTGTTCCTTACTTTTTAAAAGTAATTTCTAATTACCTGAATATATTCTCTTGGAAACACACACATACAAACCAGGTCAGCATTTTCCAGACAAGGCAAATGCCCTTGCAGCCCACTCTAGCCTCACCCCCACCTCCCTGGAGCTCAGCACGAGGCTTCTTGACTGTCCCTTTTCTGCCTCCCACTGCCCCTCCCCCTCCAGGCTACTGGGTCTTGTCTGATTATCGCATTGGCTTCCTCCCTGCCTTCTGACTTGCGCCCCTTTCACATTGCTCCCCATGCACAGGCAGGGAGGCCATTCTAAAAGTATGAGGACAGGAAGTCCTTGGGGAAGCTGCAGACCTGGATGAGAAATGCATCCCTATCACTGAGCAAGCGGGTTAAAGCTTCTCCAAGGCTCTGATCCTTGTCTGTGAGAGGGGATGGATGCTCATTGCACCCACCTTGTTGTGGGTTAAATAAGATCCTGCAGGTCACTTGCTCAGCCGCGCCTGCACAGAGCAAGCACTTGCTGAATACTAGTCTTTCTTGTTATCAATCTGATCTGGTTACTCTCCCGCTTAAGCCTACCATGGCTCCCCATTGTCTCCAGGACAGAGTTCCCTTTCCTCACTGGTCCTATATATGTCTGAATCATTGACCCTTAGCTTCCCGTCTTGGATCTGGGCAGAGCTGAACGTTCTCACCACCAGAGACTGGCCAACTTCATGCTGGGGAAGCCTGGCCAGTTCTCCCCGGTTTTGGAATTGCTCTGAGCTGGGGATGCACAGATGGCGATTGTCCTGCAAGGGGTGCGGGGGAGAAGGTGCAGCATTTCCTCGAGGCCCCCAACAGTCATTGACTCCCCCTTCCTCCTGTGAGCGCTCCTCAAACCCCACCTCTGGATGCCTCCCAGGTGCACTCTGCTCGGGCCACCCCTGGGTAGTGACTGTAGCCAGATCATGGACCCCTCCTAACTCCCTCCGTGTACTCAGGGGGGCCCTCCTGTGTCCCCTTCTTGGTGCAAGTTCACCCTCTCCAAGGGAACTTAGAAGGGAACTTGGGGCTCCCCTGGCACAAACCTGCCCCTTTACAGGTTGGGAGACTGAGGCAGGGGGGAAGGAGGGGATCGCAGCGGGGACCAGAAGCTGGGCATCCCACTCCCTGCTCTGGACTCTCCCCCTCCCCATCATGCGAGCTTCACCTCTACATTCCTTTCCCTTTCCTCCATGCCTTAATTTCCTTTCATCCTTTTTATTCTTTTCTCCTTTTCCTTCTCCTTTTTGGTACTTACCTATGTATCTATGTATTTATATATGACCCACCTGGTCAAGGCTGCGTCCTGCTGGGGGATTAGCCAATCAGGCCGCCCTGATCTCCGGGGTGGACGACCGCTGGGTGGCCCTCCTCACATTGCTCCATGTGTCCTTTCCAGGACACCCCAGCCCTTGTCTGTCCATTCCTGGCATTGTCCCCCGCAACTCCCATCCCCCCCTTCACTGGCACAGGGAGGCTGCGAGGAACTCACCTCCTCAAAGGGGCTTTTACTGTTGAGGTCTCCGGCCCCTAAGAAGACCCAGCTGTCCCGGAAGCCCAGCTGATTTGCATAGGTGCTGCCCAAGTTGGAGAAGAGCTTCCTGATTTCATCATTCATCCTGCAGGGGACCAGAGAGGACGGTGAGCTCGGGATAGGAGAAGAGGGAGCGTCTCAGGCCCTTGACTCACCCTCCACCCCTCCTCCAGCGAGGGCAGCAGCCTCTCCCGAGCTCAGGAGAAACAGGGCGGAGTGGCCAGGATGCTTCTCCGAAAGCCAATCCGAGGGGCTGGCGAAGCGTTACAACGGTTTTGCTTCTTTTCGCAAATATAATAGATGTTCACTTGGAAAATATGGAACTTTACAAAGTAACTAAAAATTACTTAGTTTCACCCCCCCTTGACATAATTATTGTAAAATTTTAGTATATTTCCTTCATGTCTTTTTTCCCTCGTGCACTGTGGGATTATACCAATTTTTTTGTAAACTGCTTCTTTTTTTCCTTTTTTTAACTTAATGCTAAAGGGTGAACATTCTTCCGTGTCCTTAAATATTTTCTGCATCAGCATTTTTGATGCAGTATATCCTCTTTTATGTATATATAATAATACGTCCTATATCGCCATATATCATGATTTCTGTCACCAGTTCGCTATCACTGCGCAGGGAGAGTGTGTCCAGTTTTTCACTCTGTGACCACGGCTGTGCTGAACCCCCCAGAACGTCTCTTTGTGCGCTTGTCTGCTTGGCTCCTTAGGAGAAGGTGTCAGAAGCTGGAGCCAGCAGGATAGGAGGAAAAGGACTTGCAGTTTGGAGGTGTTTGATTCGCTTCTCCCCGTGGCCTGGCAGGCGGAGGTTCCCACTTACTTGGTCCCCGGGTCATCGTAGGAGGCCACCAGCACCAGCGTGCCCTCTGGAATTCCTTTAAGGAATTTCACCAGGAGGTTAGCATCTGTGGGAGGAAGGAAAAACGACGTGCTGGTCATTTAGGAGAAAGACGGCTGGTCGTTCTCATCCTCTCCTACGGCCCTAACGATCCAGGAACGCCCCGGCAGCCTGACACTGAGCTCCATCTGCACAGGGTGAGGCCATCCTCATTCAGCTGGTCTGGGGTGGGTTCTGGAATCTAAAAGTTTCCCAGGCGATTTTGCTCTGCCGCTGGGGTAAGAACCACGGTGTAAGGGCCCTTGAAGGTCTATCCCCACAGGGGACCGAGCACAGTCACCTCTCAGGAGCTCCGCTGCCCCTTCTACACTGTTTAAGATGCACCCAGCCTGTCTGTGCTGACGTTAGAAGGTACACCCACCGGGCATCTCGGGCCACTGAGAGAGAACATGGGGCTTCCACAACTCTCCAGCTTATGTCGAGGAGCAAGGCTCCATTCTCATCTCTAACGCCTGCCTGCACTTGAGAGATCTCTGGATTGAACACAGAGCAGGTCTGGGGGCAGCACCTGCGGAGGCGTCAGCACGCAGCTTGCCTCAACGACGCTGATTTCTTTTCTGTTGTGCTCATTTTTACGGTCACCTTCCATGCATAAAAAAAGATAATGGCTTTCTACTTAGGGCAGTGATATAATTTCCTTTTAAGATATATTTATTTAGGTTAAAAAAAAGTGAATGAGCTGATTTAAAGGAACACACAAACAGTGCAAATAGTACTCTGGATAAGGCATAACTTATACAGAGGGCTCTTGAACAGTGGAGGAAGTATGGGCAAGATTGGCCTGGTGGGCAAAGCAGGGGCTACATCTGTCCAAGGAGAATAATTAATAGCCCTGCTCAGAGCATTTCTGTAAAGCTCAAATGTGACGATGACTCTGGGCTTGCAGTAAGTGCGTTATAACAGAATTACAATTATTAGCAGGATTGGCTACATAATTTGCAGGGCCCAGTGCAAAATGAAAACGTGGGCCTTTTGTTGAAAAATTATTAATAATTTCAAGATGGTGAAGGCAGAGCATCAAATCAAGTTTCTTCTAAGCAAGGGGCCCTGTGTGTCCTTTCTGCTCACAGCCTGCGTGCCCATGAAGCTGCCCTGATTCTTACTATTCTGTGGGTATCCCTTGAATTCAGAGGAAAAATCGAGTCCCCCAAGCAAGGCCAGCCACCACCTTGCTCTGTAACACGGAGGCCTCCAGTCAATGACCACAGCAGCCCTTGAACTCTTGAGACAAAAGGTGGGAGCTCTGAAAGTACCCTCAATTTGTTTGAGCCGTCAGCAGATAGCAAGAGCCGGCTCTTGTCTGGAATGGACAGTGGATGTTTGGAAAAGATGAAGTGTACCTTCTGATAACTATCTTCTCACTTCGAAAAGTCATCTTTTTTTCGTCTTCTGTGGGAAGGGGCGACTTATTCTCAAAAGGCTTCTGTTTCTTGTTCCCCATCAGCCATGGTTACGTCCAAGTTTAGGATAAGGCATTATAAAACTTGGTTTATCTTTTTATTTTTTTCCCTTTTCATTTTGGCAGATGACCTCCTTGCTTCCGAATCACGTGGATTTAGTGAGGGAAGAGGGAGGGGAGATGAAGCTTCCCTGGGCTCCTCCCCCAGCCAGGCTGCGTCCCTCCCCCTGATTATTGCAGGTCATCATTTAATTCTCACATCCAGCTTATGAAGTGGAGGTCTATGGCTACCTCTGTTTTATAGATGACAAAACCGAGGCTCAAGAGATGTCACCTGCCTCAGGTCAGCCAACCTGAAATCTCTGACTCCAGAGATGACCTTTACCATAACCTGGTCCCAGGCCACCCTGGACAGAGAACAAATGAAGGTCCCTGCCCTCGGCCCATGGCCTGTTCCGCTGTCTCCTCACCCGTCTCCAGCTCTGTCCTGTACCAGGAGGGGCTGTGCATGCCTGCATGTGGACACCCACCCTGCCTGTCCAAGCTCTGTCATTCCCACCCTCTCCTCCAGCAGCAGCCGTCCCCTGGCCACCCCTCAGTCTTATGGGTGTGTCTGTAGCATGGGGGGCACACCTCCAGCAGCAGCCGTCCCCTGGCCACCCCTCAGTCCTATGGATGTGTCTGTAGCATGGGGGGCACACCTGGAAGAGGTCTGCACGGGCCCTGATGCAGGCTCCAGGTGGGCACGCCCCCTGGCCCTGCAGACCCTATCTGTGAGGTGGGACTCGGCTGGAAGGCAGCGTCGTGGGAAGCCCTGAGCCCAAGACACAGTCCCGGCTCCTGTCTCTAAGGATGCTGTCACCAGTCACCTTCTGAGCACCCTCCCCCGCTGTGACATCTGGGCAGCAGACTTCCATTTCCCCCATTTCGGCCCCTCCTTTGTCTGTAAAGCCAAGAGGGCTTCCTGCTCTCTGCTGCTTGGTGGTTTCTCCCCTTCTGGGCTCACATATTTAGGTGGGTGCAGTGAGGTAGGTTTTCCCTGGAGACGGAGGCAAAGGTGGGAGATTGAAGATAGAAGAAAACAGCTGATTGGCAGCAGGAGGGCCCTTCCATTCTGCGAGGAGCTTCTGGGGTGAGGGGTCTCATGCTCAGCGCCCTTAATGCCCGAGCCCAGAGCTGGCCCTGTGATCGCGGGGACACAGAGGGATACTGAGTCGGGCCGGGCGCCGAGAAGGAGGCTGAGCTCAGTTCATCTATCCTGGCGGAAGCCAGTCCTTGCAGGGCCCAGACGTCTGCTGCCTGCAAGGGGCCACCCTGCTGCTTTGTTGCTCCTGCTGAGGCTCCTGTGTTGGTGGGAGGCTGGGTTGCCGGCTGGGCAGCAAGTGGCATATTGGGCCCGGGACTGATTCCACCACATTTTGGAAGATGTCTCAAGCCTGCGTGAGAGTCCCGCCTCCACCCACAGCTTTGCCGGGCGGCCTGGCGGGGAGCAAGCTGCTGGTGGGGACTTAGGTATCCGGGCCTCCAGCCCAGGTGAGTCGGTGCCCTGTTGCTGGGCCGTGCTAAGGACAAGGAGAAAGTGACTTCCTGAGTAAGGGGTGTCCATGGGTACAGAGCAGCTCAGAAAGCATGTCTAGGTAGAGAGAAGAAAAGACAACTGCAGAAAGATGCAGAGAGCTTGGCGCCTCAGAGCTGTCCTTTCTGGGCCTCGGGAGGCCTTGTCCTGTCCTTGGGCTCAATAGCAACCTTGCAGCTTAAAAAAAATACCTTCTACCTAGCAGAGCAAACTGGGCCACATTCCCTCGTCCTCAGCATTTCAGTGCACACGTGCCTGGCCTCCCATTGCCAGCAGCAGCATTTCTTTGCCTGAAGGTCTTCTCCGGCCTCCACATCCTCCTTTGTACCCTGGGGCAGGCCAGAAGCGTGGGAAGTGCCAAGGAATAGGGGTAGGAGCACCGCGGCTCCCTTGCCCCTCGGGGTGTCTCAGGGGCACATGTTCTACACTGGCTTTCTGCAGCGATCGTGGCTCCGTAACGCTCTGCACTGGCTGCCTTCCTTTCCCCGGCTCACTCCCCCACTCCCTACTGACATTCCCTGAGATCACCTCCTTCCAAATAAACACCGCACTGGAATCCTTGCCTCAGGATCTGCATCAGGCAGTGCGCAGGAAGACAGCAGAAAGGAGTTTCAAAGGCGGCAGGATGGCCCCCCCCCCCCCCCCCCCCCCCCCCCGCCCACTGTGCCGCTTTCTGATTGGGCCCCTGGAAATAAGAGCCAAACTCCCGGCACCCAGATAGCCTCTTGCCACAGGAAGGAGCTCAGCCCGCCCTCGACTTCAGTGCCAACAGTGGTGCCTACCTCCAGAGTACATGTCGAAATATTTCTGTGTCATCACCTTTCCTGTGGTTCCTAAGGGATAAGAGAGCAGAACTATTATTTGCCGTAGCACGTCATTCTGTCTTTCATGTTGTAGAGAGTGGCTACTCTGTAGTCTAAGGTCTCAAAATAGAATAGAATAATAGTGGAACAAAATTAGGTCCTGTAGAAAGCATGCGGGACTAAATTAGGTGCCCAGTAACCATGGGGCTGATCTGAGGGGTACTAGCACATAACAGTGCAAGGTCTCTGGAACTGAATGGAATCCAACCAGTCTGGGTTTGTGTTCTGCCCTGCCACTTCCTAATGCACGACTTAGCATTTGACCTCAATTTTTGCATCTGTACCATGGGCTGTGGGAACTAAATGAGATGTATTTAAAATATATGCATGTGAGATAAATCTTACCTATAAAATAGTAACTAAAACTACAACCATCATTACTATTCTCACCTAAACAGGAACTCTGCAATTTGAGTGCTCCAACTCTTGAAGGCAAAGGGATTTTCAGTGGGCTGAAGTGTACTCAGTGTCCGGAGTCCAGTAATCTGGATTGCCTTGGTGGGCTTTGCAAAGCGTACAAATCCTACAGGGAATCAGGTGTTCTGGAGGAAAATTGCAATTCTTACCTTTGGCCACTGGATGGGGGTGTTGCAGAGGGGATGGCAGCTCTAGTTTCACCTTCACTGCCCCCTCCCCCAATTCAGTTGGTAGATTTGATAAGAGGGTGGCGACAGGGGCCTGGGGAGTGGCAGCTCTCCTGCGGGGTGGGAGCGGGCTCTCACTGCAGTCCCCCGTGAATTCTTGGAACCACTCGTGTCCAAGCCGTCCAGACACTTTACCTGGGGCTCTTGGGAAGGAATCTATGAAGCCGGTGAAAGTACTTTTGTGATCCTGTGCACTTGCAGATTTTTCTGGAACCGGGGGTGGGGGGTGGGGGTGGGGCGGAGGAGGTGTAGTTTGAACAGTTTCTCAAAGGAATCCCTGCCATCTCAAAGGTTGAGAAGTAGCAATCCTTTTGTTGTTCTGGCTCGTTATGTAGATGAGGACCCTGCGGCCCTGAGAGGGATTGGTTAGACTTTCCACAGCTGGCATGCAGTAGGCGCTGCGCATGTGCTTGGACACATTTCTAGTCTAGCGGGTAGTTTCGCTGAGTGATTAAGACCTGGAGTCAGCCAGAGCCAGGTTCAAATCTAGATGATTCTATTGGCTGTGTATCCTGGGCAAGTTGCCCAGCCTCTCTGAGCCCCCATTTTTTTACCTGGAGAACAGGGAAACTGAGCATAGCTGCCTTCTAGCATCGTGATGACGATCAGTGGAATAGCTAGCACGCAGTAAGTGCTCGATAAACATGAGCTCTCCGTGTCATCCGCGGTTGTTTTTATCTTTGGGCTTTGCGAGGGATGGGGAAGGAGGCCTCCGTCTGAGCCCATCTCCTGGGAGAATATTCAGGCGTTTTCTCCCACGGTGGTCCATTTGGAGGAAGAGAAGCCCAGCAGGTTTCAGCCAGGTCGGCTGCAGCTGGAGCCCTTCCCTGCCCTTCCCACTGTGGGGTGAGTGGAGACTGGGTGGGACAGTTGATGTGAGTGAGGCTGCTAGTCTCCTGGGGCCTGGCGGGCTGGGGGTGCTCTGAGACCGTCTGGAAGGGGCCAGCAGCAGGGGGACTCAGGCCTCCCTCTCCTCTAGGCTCTGGAGGAGGAGCGGCCCCCCTCAGCTTCCTGCCCCTCCTGGCCCACACCCTTCCTGGACTCCCAGGTAGTTGGCCCCAGCTGTCCTCTGACCCCTGTCCGGCAACGCCCCTCCTCTGTTCCAGGCTTTGACCTCTCCCCTGACGCAGCAGGCTTTCTTGGCAGACAGGAAATGGGTCCTCTAGGAGCAAAGGGCCAGGGTTCCAATCCTACCCTGTCACTTCCTAAGTGTGGTTGTGTGGTCACACTGCACACAAGCTTGAACCCTTTTTCTCCCAAGTGTCCATTGTGCCCTTTTTCCATCTGCCCTGACCTTTGTCCCAGGAATAGCTCTTAGATCCAGGCAAATAGCCCCTGTTCCCCAGATCATGTAAGAGCTGAAGGCAGACAGGAGGGGCTCAGCTGGGGCCAACCACCTGGTCCTTCTCGGCCCCTGTAACCTACCCCCTCCTGAAACATGTCCCTGTTCCTGGCTTGGCCTGCAGTTGGCTTCCTGTTCATCACCTGCTGGAGATGCAGGCTTACTGAGACTGTGGGCCTCCCTGGGTCTCCCTGCCTCTAGCCTCCCTATTCCAAGCTAGAAGGAGGTTTCAGGAAGGCAGGGCTGGGCCAAGGCCCTGCTCAAAGCCTTTCCAAGGCTCCCTATTTTGCTCTGCTTCAGGTCCACACTTCTTAGCAGGACACTTAGCCCCTCATCCTCTGGCCCTGCTGGTCCCCCAGCCTCACCTCTCACCACCCTGCTTTTATGTTATAGCCGGAGAGAGCCTGTGTGGACCCCCAAGCCCCTCTCCTCCTTCTTCCTTTCCCTGCGCCCTGCACAGTGTTGCCCTGCCTGGAAGGAGCCTTCCTCTTTTCTCCTGGTCAACCCCTACCATCCCTCAGGCCTCAGCTGACCATCACCTCCCTCTGGAAGTCTCCTCCCCCGCCTACCTCTGCTGCCAGCTCTGTGTCCCGATCCCAGAGCTGTGTTTCCTTTTCCTTCATATGTGCTTACCACCTTCTGATTTTTTTGTGAATTTCATGGGCGCCCACAGGGGCTTGTCAAGCCATGGTCTGTCCTTCTAGTTCACAGGTGACCCCCAGAACCCCATACGGGGCCTGGCCCACAGTAGCTGCTGTCACTCTTTGCCGAATGAGTGAATGAAGGCGTGCACTCAGCTTGAAATCTCACATTGTCCCCTATGGTTTCATGTGTGTTGGTTTAAGCCCAGACAGGGTCACGTTTCATAGGAGCAGCGTATCCTCCTGAGATGGGTGCACCTGGCAGGGACCTGGCCATGACTGCAGGGCAGACCAGCTCTTTTAGACCTGTTCCCACAGGCCAGCCAGGCTTCAGAGCGTGGTGGGGGCCGGCGGGGGGTGGATCGGCAACTCACCGTTCACCAGGGCGATGTTCAGGCCTCTGCCCATGTTGTTTTTCACAGGACTCATGATCCTGAAGAGAAAGAAGAAACACAAAATACAACAGTTGGTCCCGAGTGTGGAGTGAACACACTAGAAGCATCAGGAAACACACGGAATTATTTGGGTCATCTGTTTTCTCCTGGAAACGAGCGGTGGGCTGGATTCTCTGAGTCTCTCATGGTACGTTGGGACCAGAACACCCTGCCCAGGGAAGAGGGAGGGTCCCTGCCTGGGGCTCGGAGGTGCTGGAGGCATGGTCAGCCCATGTCCCTAGGCTAGGTGGAAGGCAGAGCCCAGAAAGTTGGTCCCGTCCTGCCATGTCTGGGATCCCCAAGTGGAGCCCAGCTGTGTTCCTGCGGCCCAGCATCCTCTGGTATCCCTGGGAAAAGTGTACTTCTCCTTCTCAGGCCAGGAGGTTCTCAGCACTGACCTCTCTCCCAGGCCTGGACAAGCCAGTATCCTGTGCCCCTGGTCACAGTGATTGGGCCAGTGTGGTCATGTGACCCAGGCCAGCCAATGAGCCCCAGCCCCGGGACTTTTGCAGGGTTAATTCAAACGGGAAATCTCTTCCCAGTGGGGTCCTAGACAGGGCTATTATGTCAACCCAGCTGGTGGCCTCCCTCCTTCACCACATGAAGAAGTCCATTTTCAGTAGAGAAAACCGAATCTAATGACAGAGGAAAGCAGAGCTGAAGGTAGTGTGAGAGGGAGCCCTGATGACTTGGTCTGAACCCCTGGATTCAGCTGGTGCTGGAGCCCACTGCCTCTGGCCTTTTGGGTACGTGAACCAGTAGGTTTCCTTGTTTTGCCTAAATGATTTGGATCTAGGTTCGGAATCCGTACTAAAACACCTGTCTCTGGCTTCTTTTGTAGGATGAACTTGCTGTCCCAGGGACTTTACTACCTAGAAAGCCTGGTAGATAGTCTTTCTCCTGCACCTGGGTAGAAGCCCTGGCACCTGCTGCATCTGGGCCTTGATACCTGGACCTTGATCTTGAACATTCCCCTTAGACATCCCCCGTCATAGGAAGCCCAGCAGCTTGGCTATCAGATACACCTGAGTTCAAATCCTGGCTCTACCAAGGGTTAGCTGGGTAACACTGTCTGAGCCTCAGTTTCCTCATTTTTACAAAGGGGAGGATTATCGCCCCACCTCCAGGAATGCTGGGGGATTGAGGGAGACGATGCTGTAAGGCGTCTAGCAAGGTGCTGGCCGATTTGCAAGATGTTAGGATTATTATCATGTGTGACCCACCCACCCAGAGTAAAAGGAAGCATGTCGAAGGTGTGGGCTGGTCTCTAGGGCCCGCCCTTGAGGCCTCTGAACTTGCTAATGAGTGAATTAATGAAAGAAAAGAAAAGAAATGCCAGAAACTTACATTTGGACTTCAAAGCACACGGAGGGGCCCACGACGTTGGCGGCCCCGCTGGTGATTTTAAACGCAAAGAAGTTGTCTGGGCAGGATTTGCTGAGGCCACACTTGGTCTTCACCGAGTGTGAAGCTGGGGACGGAACAGAATAGCTTTGGTGGCGGCAGCTAAGGAAGGGGCCCAGGAGGAGGAGAGGGGCAGGGACAGGGGGCCTCCTCCCAGGGATGCCTTCCCTGACCACCTAGGTCTGCGGATTTGCCCCTTTCTGTGCTCCCACAGTGCTTCCAACAACCCCATCAAAGACACGGGACGCTGCGTGTCTGACCGCTCAGCGTTCATTTCTGGGATTCCCATCACAGCCCCAGCCCTGGCACAGCTCCTGGCTGCCCGCAGACCTTCAGTGACTGTGTGCAGAACAGTGAATGGTGGCTAATGACCCGAGTCACCGTGATGAAGGGATTCTCTTGAGAGCTTTCTCTTGAGACATGGCAGCCTTTTGAGCTCACAGAGGCCCCTGTTGACAAGCTCCTGGGGGCCCAGCATGGTGGGTGGGAGCGCTTCTCACCAGCCAGGTTCCCTTGAGCAAGTCTTCAACCTCCTTGCAAATCTGCTCCTTCATCTGTGAAATGGGCCAATGATGGTACTTCTCCACTGGGTTCTTGTGCGGGATTAACGAACTCAGGTTAATGCTCAGGGCTTATTGGCTATTCTTCTTATCACTCATTTCCGGAGCACTTACTTTGGACCAGACCCTGAGATTCAAAGGGACCAGGCAAGTGGTTCTGGAACTTCCCTCCTGGGGCTTAGCACGGTCCCTGGAACCCACTGAGGACTCAGTATGTGGGACCTCTGATTATTGTGGCTGCTATTAAGACCTGCGTCCTCTCCACATGGCCCTCCCAGGGCGAACTCTGGAGGCCTGTGAAAGGCGGGAGAGGCAGATGCGCCCCCAAGCACAGCCGCTGAAATGTCACCCACACTTTCAGCCTGGCAGTTTCTAACTTATATTCACACATGTTGTTTTAACACCACCTGACAGTTCAGAAGGTGCCAGGAGGGAGAACTGGGTAAACAGGGAATTAGAGAAAGTTCACCTGCAAAGGGAGAGCAGTGATCAGGCAGCCTTTCTCTCCTTCAGCCCCCGCGCCAGGCGACTGGCTGAGCCGCGCCAGAGTGCTTGGAGCAAACCCACAGGCTTCCCAATAGACGCTGGCACACGCCAGGGCCTTGCTGCCTGCTAGGCACTGTGGCAAGCCCTTTGTCTTTACTGTCTTGTTAAATCATCCCCATAACTCCTGTGCCTGCCATAGAGGAGGCACTCGATAAATCTTCACTGAATGAACACCTAGAGCATTTGGGCGGGTCTGAGCCCAAGCTGGGGGGGTGATTAGGGTCTCCAGGGCCTAGAGGGAGCCCTAATGGGAATCAGGAAAAAGCGTCCCTCTGGGGGGACACAGCGCACTAGTGCCAGGCTCGGCGAGCCTGTGGTGCCTCGGAGTGGTTGATGGTGCCCCTACTTAGGAGTGGATGCAGCCTGCACCAGGGCTCCCCTGGTGGAGTGGGCGGCCCTGAGGATCTGAGCAGAAAGCCCATCCTAGGCTCTCTCTCCTCACCCTGAGTGCCAGCATACAGGCCTGGTGGGTGTAACCAGAGCTCCAACTGGGACACCATCACCAGAGAGTGAGGGCCGGGAGTGGAGACACCCCCTAGTGGCTCAGGAGAGGGATGGCTGGAGATGTGGACCCGACGGCCCTACCCCTTCCTCTGGACAGAACCCCCCCCCCAGAGTGGCTAGTTGAGGGTGAGGCTGGGAGGGGTCTTCTTCTCCTATGAGCCTTGGGGCTCCACCTCCGCCCCCCCTCCCCCCAGAGAGCCCAGTTTACTTTCGAATCCAGAGGTTTTCACCTTGCCGGAGGGGCTGGGCCAGGCTTCGGGGACCACCCTGGAGTTTGCCCAGAGCCTAATCAACAGCGGCTGAGTCGGATAAACCCCATGTCAACAGGCCGGCTTAGCAAGCTTTTCCCAAATTGATTTTCTGACCATCCAGCCTTCACGGTCAAGCTACTGGATGAGGCGGGGAGGAGGCCCGGGGTCTCAGTCACTGGGAGGCAGGGGATTTGCTCTGTGGGTTTGGGTTTCAGGGGTTTCCTAAGCTGCCCAACCCCTCTGGGAACCCAAGAGGCTATTGCTCAGGGCATGGAACTGAGCACCGGAGGGGAGTTGCCGTCAGGGAACTCGGGCGACTTCAGTAATCTGCTGTGTGACTTGCCAGAAATCTCTCCCTTTCGCTTAAAAGTGCCAACTGTAACATGAGAGAGTTGGTTTAGATCAGGGTTGTCAAACAGGTTTCCTCTTCAACGTTAACGGATCTACTATTAAAGGCTTAATGATAAAGCCTTGAGGCTACCTGTGGGCTTGGAGGGAAAGAGTGCTGGGATTGATTGGTGATGTCTACTGTGGGAACCTGCGAAGGTGAGAGGCAGCACGTGTGCTTGGATTGCCTTCCCCCCAGCAGGTGACGTCTGAGTGTTCGTTCAGCACCAAGATGCTGTGTGACAGTGTCTACTTCACAGTGTGACTCAGGAGGCTTCGGTGAGACAGGGTTCAGGGTGTGGGGTGAATGGTTTGTGTTGGTGCAGTCTTTGCTCTCTGTAATTCCACAGTGCACAGGGGCTCCCATGCCCTTTTCTGTTCTTTTTAAATATTTATTTGGGTGCACTGGGTCTTAATTGCAGCACGCGGGATCTTTTTTAGTTGTGGCGTGTGGGATCTAGTTCCCTGACCAGGGATTGAACCTGCGCCCCCTGCATTGGGAACATGGAGTCTTAACCACTGGACCGCCAGGGAAGTCCCCTCCATGCCCTTTTCAGTCCGGGAAAGTCCCGCTCCCCCCCGAGCTGCATCCCCCTTCAGTCACCACCGTGTTGGTGTGGAAAGGGGGACTCGGAGGTGCTGTCTCTTGTAAGGAGGTGTTGAGAGGGTGTGCTCTGGATTAGATGGGGAGGTTGACTGCCTCCCCGCCACTTACAGCTGCATTGCCGTGGCCAAGAGATTTCACCTCTCTGAGCCTCAGTTTCCTCATCTACAAAATGGGGATACTTATAGCATCCACATAGGGTTGTGGTGAGGATTGCATGAGATGCCTGTGAAGTTCTGAATACAGTGTCTGGCACACAGTAGGCACTCAATCACTGTTACTATTATCATCACCATAATTGTCCCTTCCTTCCACCTTCTCTGTACTTCTCTGCACTGTTCAGACGTCTCAGCACTCCTGCTCTCCTGGTGCTCTTTCCACTCCCCACACTTGCGTCCCTGACTTAGCAGCCAAGTTCTCCACTGGAGCCCCAGCATTCCTGCCCCTAGGCCTTTGCACAGGCCAGTCTCTCCTCCACAAGGCACAGCTAAATAGCCGCCTCCTCCCTGAAGCCTTCCCTGACCCCTTTCCATTGGAAGCAGGCGGCCCTCCTGGAGCCCATGGCATGTCGCCCCACCTCTCTTGGCACATATGGCCCTTCTGCCCCCTTAGACTATCAGCACCCCCTTCTGTTTGCCTCTGGGGGCCCCTGCGGTGCTCAACATGGCCCTGGTACTTTGGAGCAGGAAACATAAGCCAATTCTGGGGTCACTGAAATGATAATAAGCACAGCCTGCATCCTTGGGGCTCCCAGCTGGGTCAGGGGATGAGAGAGGGGGGCAGGGTGGGTGCAGTCCAGACTGCAGGCTGGGGGTGCTGTGGAAGGGAGACAGTTGAGCCCCCCCTATGAGTCCGAATGGCTGAGAAGGGGCCACAGGGCTGGGTGCTTTGGAAGGCACCATCAGGCCATGGAAAGAGTGAGCTGGGCAGACTCTGGGAACCAAGGTTTTTCTAGAACCTTCAGGGCTGGGACTAGAGACTCTGGAACACCTCACCCTAAGGGCTGGGGAGTGGGAAGAAGGGAATTCAGGGAGGTGTTGTCCTGGCCAGGCGCAGTCCCTGTCCCGTGGCAGGGGTTGAAATGAGTTGAAAGTCCCATCTGGTCTGGAAGTCCTCCCTAATTTGCCACTGTCACCACTTCTCTCTCTCACGTGCACACACACACACACACACACGCACATACACACAAAGCGTGCACACAGACGTATGCACATACACTTACACATGTGCATAGACACACATGTGCGTGCACGTGCACACACACGCACGCACACAGAGGACTCTCTCATGGTTAAAAAGAAGCAGACCTCTGTTGTGAGGCCCACTGGACTTGGAGCCTGGCCATGTGTGACCACGTGTGAGTTTTCTCCTCTGGGGCTCGGCCTCCTCGCCTGCGCAGTGGGGGCCATCACACCCACTCTCGCCGGCTGTGGAGAAGAGCCAGTGAGAGGCGCCGAGAGCCCTGGCCCCCCAGGAAGGACAGGATGGTGTGGCTGTCACTTTTCGGGCCCGGATCATCCCTTCCCGACTCCCGCAGCTCTGAACATCTGAACAGGTTTCACGTCTTAGCTGTGCTGCGTCCTGCTTATTTCTGCGGTGCTACGTCCGGTCTCCCACCAGCTGAGTGCTAAGTCCTAGAGGACAGGGCCCCCAGGGGACACAGAAATGCCGGCAGGGAGCGGGGGAATGCTCCTTTTTGGGGGACACCCACACTGACACGCTTTCCGTTTGGTCCTTGAGAAGCTGTCCCCCTACCCTTGCCTCCAAGGCCCGAGGGGTATCACGTGTCCCAGGCTGAGCCAGTTACAGCGTTACATTCGTCTGGAGACGGAGCCCTTCTAGGGGTTGATATGTGGCCCTGGGGGAGAGAGAAGCATCTTGCAGCTGAGCTGCAAGGTGAACATCCAGAGAGCTGGTAGCCACCATGCCTGCCTGGGAGAGAAAGCTGCCCATGGAATGAGGTTAAACAGTAAGGAGCAGAGCCCAGGGACACAGAGACAGACTCTGGGGCCTTTGTCGGGGCCCCTAGATCCAGCCACACCTAAAATCTGATGCCATGGGCTTCCCAATGACCTGACTCAAAAGACATCCCATTTTGCTTAAACCGCTTACAGTTGGGTTTGTCACTCCCGTCTGAAAGAACCCTGCCCAATTTATTAGGTAAATCAGAAATTCCTTAATCACCTGATTTCTGTGCCATGGACCCCTCTGGTGATTTGGAAAAGCCTATGAACTCCCCTTACAGTAAATTTATTCCCACTTCTCTTGAGACACTCAGCACTTCCTACTCTACCAGATGGCAAGTTATTAAATGCATAAAATAAAATAGATTGGATTAAAAAGGAAACCAACTATGTATCAAGATAATAATAAAAACATTAGAACATTCTGTGCTGTAGTAATATATGTGCTTCCATATTAATGCATTAAGTCATCAGGTGGGGTGCATGCAACCAGGTCAGGAATGTTTGAAGTAAATGAAGGTTCCCCTTTCCGTGCCTGAGCACACTAGTGGCTTTGGATGGCTGCTTTTCCCACTGGTTACATTTCCTGCCACTGTAAGCATTTTGCAAGACTTGGGTCATGTTAATGCACTTCCATTTTTGTATATTCTATACAGTAAGTCCCTTACATATGAATGAGTTCCATTCCGAGAGCACATTCCTAAGTCCAATCTGTTCGTACGTCCAACAAAGTTAGCCCAGGTACCCAACACAATCGGCTATGTAGTACTGTACTGTAATAGGTTCATAATACTTTTCACTCAAATAATACATAAAAAAACCCACAAAAAATAAAGAAAACATTTTTAGTCTTACAGTACAGTACCTTGCAAAGTACAGTAGTACAGTACAACAGCTGGCATACAGGGGCTGGCATCGAGTGAACAGGCAAGAAGAGTTACTGACTGGAGGAGGGAGAGGAGGTGGGAGATGGTCGAGCTGAAGGATTGTCAGCAATAGGAGTTGGAAGGCAAGCTGCATGTGACAACGTACGCCAGACATGTGAACTAACTCACGTGCCTGGAGCTGGGGCCACGTGTTCCTCGTTCTGGGGTCTTTGGGACCTCACACAGAACAGTTGCTTGATGATCGTTGGGGGGAGTGTTGATTTGTCAAACCCCAGGTGGTTGAGTTCTGAGAGGGAAACATCTGGGGGCTCCTTTCAATTCCTCCCCTCTGCCACCCCAAGCTGAGGCTCTCTTCTCTAGAGCTTGCTCCTGAGCTCGCCTCCGGCTCTGAGCCTCCTGTGCTTATCTGGCACACCTCCTCCGAGTCCAGCAGCACAGCCCAGTCAATGTCTAGTCTGTAAAAGTAGGGCCTAAGATATGTATCCACGTGAATCATCCTGACCTGGGTGCGGGCCATGCTTGACAAGAAGCACATGAGGTAAGGGCCCTCTGAGATTCCACTGTGGGGAGTTTGTGTTAAAGGCAGGGTGATTGGCTTCTCACTGCTGTGAAGCCATGAGCTGGTCTGGGCCACTAGAGGTTATTATGTTTGATTATGTTGATGGAGGTGGTTCTTGGTCTTTAAGGAGGACGAATCCAGAGGTAGAAATTCCTTCCCTTTCTCTCCTTCCTTTGAAAGGATTTGGATCTGGGAGACCTGTGTTCTCATTCCCGTTCTGACATCTACAAGGGACATCTGGGTAAGTTTCTCAATTTCCCTGAGCTTCTCTTTTTCTCGGACCACACATAAAACCACAACATGAGGTCATGCATGAGTCCACTCCACAAACATACCATGAATCACCCCCTAGGTCATTTGTGCAGATTAAATGAGACCATGCATGTAGAGCAGCTAGCATCCATCACCCATCCACCATCCATCCACCCATCATCCACCTATCCACCCATCATCCATCTATCTACCCATCATCTATCCATCCACCCATCATCCATCCATCCACCCATCATCCACCTATCTACCCATCATCCACCTATCCACCCATCATCCACCTATCCATCCCTCTTTCTTTCACTTATCAAATGTTTCCTGAGCATCTGCTCTGAGGTGCTAGAGAGATGGATGTACACAAGGCAAAATTCTGCCTTCAGGAAGCTCACATTCTATGGGATGGGGTTGGGCAACAACCAAGTAAACAAATAAATAAACAACCTAATGATGGGTGATAATGATGTTCTGAAGGGAATAGGCTGACATGAAAGACTCTAAACTAAGAAAAGCGGGTGCAAGTATAGCTGGGGTGGTAAAGGAAGGCCTCTCTGAGGTGGTAACATTTGAGCAGAGGCTTGAAGGCTGAGAAGGGGCTGGCCACAGGGAGGTCTGAGTGAAGAGGGTTCCAGGCTGAGGGAACAGCAGGTACAGGTGGAAGGCACTCAAGGCCCGGGAAGTTTTCTCCCTCCCTTCTTTTCTTCTTCCCTCTGTCCTTCCTTCTTGGGTCATGTTTCCAAAATGGCCCTTGAGGCAGGCATATGTTCTGGCCAGGGCCTTGGGACACTTCTCTGGCCCCCATGGGCTCCCAGCCTTCCGGACAGCCTGGGGGTTCCTCTTCTCCCACCCCGAACGCCTCGGGTCCCAAGGGCAGTCCTCAGCTTGCCATGGCTGGCCACCTCCTGGGTCACCCAGGGATGGAATAGATCCTTGGCCCCTATCCCTGGTCAATAGGCCTTGCCCCAGTAGCGAGCTCCACTCACCCAGGAGGATGGTTTTCATGTTGAAGTTGATATATCTGTGGATGAAGACCCATGTGGTGACCAGGCCAAAAATGAGGGCCAGGAGGTGAAGCAGACCTGCAGAGCAAGGAGATGCTGCCATGAGACCACAGCACCAGACCACGTTGCAAGGCCAGGCAGCAAGACTACATGTGGGTCCTTCCCAAATCCCCTCAGTGAGACCACATCCTGTAGGTCCGGACCCTGCCCACACTGTGGACCAGTCCATGGCCTGCATGGTGGGGCTAGCGTGAGCCTACGTGATGACCATGCTGCATGGCAGTGTTCCCCAAAGTAGGGCCGCTGGGAGGGAGGGTTAGAAATGCACCTTCCTGGGTTCTACTTAGCGCTCCAGAGAGCATCTCTGGGGTGAGGCCTGGGAATCAGCATGCTGAGGGGAGGCCTGAGAACTGCGGCAGGAGAGCAGGAGGCAGGTGAGCCCCGGCATGGGAGGCAGGAAGGCTCAGGGCGGCCACCTGCCACTGTGTGACCGCGGGCAGGGGCTCAGCACCTCTGAGCTGGAGTTCCTCGGTCACAGAGTGGACAGGGTGATGCCCTTGATGCTGAGCCCATGGCTTGTTGGGAAGGATGTTACAGTTGTCACCACTAGGCAGCCTCCAGGGTGGCTTGCGGGGTGGGGTTGGTCTCCTGTATTTGCCATCCACTCCCCCTGAAAGCCACCACAAATAGCACACAGTGCTCTCTGTAGGAACACACACCAGCCTAGCCGACGCGGCCTCCCCTGCCTCACAGCCATATTGCTCCCTATTCCCCCATGCATCACTGAGGAGCAACTCCAAACACATGATGGACCACCAGAGCCCCCGGCCGCTCTCCCTTTCCTCACTCTTCTGGGAAGGCTGTACCACACCTCCCGCCTCAAGGACTCTGGTGGTCCCACAGCCTTGGGAGTCAAATGTAACCATCAGGCCAAGTTCCCTTGCTCCTTGCCTGACCTCCCTCTCCATCTATGGCCATACCACCCTAAACACGCCGGATCTCGTGTGACCTCCCTCTCTGCACCACCCTTGCTCCTCAGCCCTGAATTCAGCTGTGGCCTCCTGCTGGCCTCAAGCTACTGCAGTGGGGGAGAAGGCCCCCTGGATCCCATGGGGTGGGGTCAGGTCTGTGGGGTCCTCGTCTTCTAGGGCATCGGCTCACATTATACGGCACTCATTTTGTGTCGGGTTCTGGGCGAACGGCATTTACACACATTATTTCAGTTCATCCTGGAAGTAACCCTCTGTGTTGTACGCTATTGATTACCCCCATTGGACAGATGAGGAAACTGCAGCTGGGAGAGCTGGTCACTAGGCTAGTAAGTGACAGGGGGGACCTGAACCCGGGGAAGTAAGCTGACTCTAAAACTCGTGCTTGGGACTTCCCTGGTGGTGCAGTGGATAAGACTCCACACTCCCAATGCAGGGGGCCCTGGTTCGATCCCTGGTCGGGGAACTAGATCCCACACGCATGCCGCAACTAAGGAGCTGGTGAGCCTCAACTAAGGAGCCTGCAAGCCGCAACTAAGACCCAGTGTAACCAAATAAATAAATCTTAAAAAAAAAAATTCATGCTCTTCAGGGAACTATATTTAATATCCTGTGATAAACCACAATGGAAAAGAATATAAAAAAGAATGTATATATGTATAACTGAATCATGTTGCTGTACAGCAGAAATTGACACAACATTGTAAATCAACTATACTTCAATAAAAATAAATAAATAAAACTCGCTCTCACCTTTCTCCTGGTGTTTGAAAATATAAATGGATTGTGTCAGTTTCCTATTTGGTGCCTCAGTTTCCCTACCTGTACAAAGAGGGTACAGTATGAGGGTGTAGACCAAAAGGCAAAGGCCTCTCCTTGTGTCCAGCCCTGTGGTTTGAGGATTCTAGAATAGCCCTCCTTGAGGCAAATATTTTGTCTGTAATAGCCAACCACAGTTAAGTGTTTCCAAGATAGGATGAACCTCCATGATCCCAGCCAGGTGGGGCCATGGTGCCCAAGTTCCTGTAGTCCTTCAGCCTTGAGGCAGGAAGTCACCTCTTATACTCTTCCAAGCTCTCCCTGTATTGGTTTCCTCCTGGAATTCTGGCCTGACCAGTTGAGAACAAATAAAGCCAAGTAACCTCTGAGTCCAGGATGGGCAGACACTGCTGGCAGAAAATGGTTTCCAAAACCAGTTTCAGACCTCAACCTTGAGGCTTAGAATCCTCAGAGCCTGGCCCTACCTGACACTCTCATTGTGTCCAGGTGAAGAGTGGCTTGGGGTCAGTGTTCCTGTGGAGAGAAGAAAATAAAATGGGAAACTGGTATCTAGGGTCTGAAAGTGGACAAGACTGAAGGTGAGGAAAGGGTACCTAAAACTGAGGGGATTGCAGTCCTTTCAGTTTTGTTCCCCATCGTCTGCCATCATCTGTTCCTTCTCTGCTCCCACCTCTTCTTCACTTTTGCCCCTGTAATTCTGTATTCAGTTCAACATGCCTTTTTTGAATGCAGAGATTAGGAAGCAGAGGAAGATGCAGTCTACCAGCCACTGTCCCTGGAGGATTGATTTATTCACTCATCCATTCATGTATCCATCCATCTGTCCATCCATCCATCCATCCATCCATCCATTTGTCCATCTATCCATCCACTTGTCCGTCCGTCCGTCTGTCCGTCCATCCATCCATCCATCCAACCATCCATCCATCCATCCATCTACCCATGCATCTATCCATCGTTCTGTCCTCCAGCCAGCTGAGAGACATTGAGCTGGCCAGCCCCCGTGAAACCGTTAGGGAGCAGAAGCTCAAGTGACCTTTGCTGATGGACCAAAATTAAGAGTAATAGGGACCCACATAGCACAGGTGAGCTTGCGCCAGGTGCCATACATGCACTATCACCTTTAATCCTCATAGCTCCCCACTTTAGGGGTAAGTAAGCTAAGACTCACCACTGTTAGGCCCACAGGCATTCAGCTTGCAAGGGTCAGGGGCAGAATTTGGATGCAAGTCTTGGCTGCCCAATCCCCACAGGGAAGCCCTGCCAGTGTCTTTTGTCTCGGAGGAGAGTTGAAACCGAAGTTTCCCCCCTTCCTGAGTCCTGGGCCGGGGTAGGGTCAGCCTCAGTCCCACCGCTCCGCTGTGCCACCCCCAGGTACCAGTGACTTGGCAGCGCTGAAAACCCTCAGGAGGTCTCTGGAGTCTCCGAAGAGGGGAGGGCGGGGCTCGTGGTCGCTGTTCCGGGTCTCAGACCCCGCCCCCCCCCCCCCCCCCCCCCCCCCCCCCCCCCCCCGTAGCCATCTGGAGGGTCTCTGACGGCAGTGACTTGCTTCCACCACTCTTCCAGCTCTCCACCCCAGAATCCTCTTTATCCTGAGAATCCATCTCAGCAGACATAGTGTCCAAAGCCCAACGGCCAAGGATCCAGAAGGAGACAGAAGACCTGGACAACACCCGGCACCGAGGCAGGCGGGCTGGGTCCGTCCTCGGTGTTTCAACAACAGCGACAGCAAAGGCAAACCCACTTTTCTATCTGAGAAGGATGAAAATCCCCCCATCCACCCTGGCCCTACCCCTCTAGGACCTTCCAGGGGAGGAAGCTGAGCTATCACCTGGCCCCACCCACAGGGATTTTGTAGAGCTTTACATTTCTGAAATTCGTATTACCAACCTTTTTTTAGATACAAAAATATACTGTGCTCTTGAATGTTCTCAGGATGTGACCTACGGAAGTCCAGGAGCCCAGGCCTCTGGATGAGGCTTAAAGGACATCCTGTGGGGTCCCCCCTGTGAGGAGAAGCCAGGAGAGCCGGGGGCGGAACAGGATGGAAAGACAGGCACAGCGTGTGACAGATGAACGGACAGACATGGATATTCATGGAGAGAGTGTCACGGAGACAGAGACTAGAGAGACAAAAACAAGGACAAGGGGGAGAGGCACATGGCAGAGGTACAGAGACAGAAAGAGAGAAAGAAGACAGAGCAGAGAGACAGGAACAGAGGACGAGAGGGACAGAGAACAAGTCCTCAGGACAGGCTTACACCTGGCTTCAGAGAGAGGGAGTAGAGAGACAGGATGGGGACACATACCCGGGCAGGGGGCTAGCCTCTCGCGTGGTGTCCTTGCCAAGCAGGGCTCCTGGCTTTAGGGGTGGGGGCGGTGAGGGCTCTTCTGGCCTGACGTCCCTTCCAGCCAAGTCCCGGTGACCCCCTCAGCCCTTGCAGAGCTCGCTGCGCTCCTGAGTCCCCAGCCCGCTCACCCTGGCAGCCAGCGGGGGTTCTGGAGCTGGATCTGAAGGTGGGGCAGGAGGGAGAAAGGCACCTGGGACAGGTATGCAGGTGGGGCAACAATTCTCTCTGCACCTACCCAAACCCCAAACACTTTCCTTCCTCCTTGTTTCTGGGGTTACTTCAACCTGTTATTCAGGTTACGAAATTGTGAGGCAAAGGCACAGGAAGAAACATCCTGCTGCCCCGCCTGCTGGCTTGACTGGCCCGGGCACAGACTCGGTGGCCCCAGGGCAGAACTGGGTCACAAAGTAGGTGGTGGTGGGGGGGGGGGGGGGCAGGGTGGGAAGTAGGAGATGGAGGTGGGGAGGTAGGAAGTGGAAGGCATGAATGGCTGAAAACTGCCCCACTCCGACCTGACCAGAGAGCCCATGGTCCACCCTCACTGTCCATGAGCCTCTCCATTCTTCCTGTCCTTCCCCCTGGACCACTTCTGATTTCTGGCTTCAGGTCTGGCCCTGTGCGTTAGCCCCAGGCACGCTTTGCTTTTCCACAGCAGGCCTTGTCTTCTGCAGGCTTGGTACAGCGCTGAGCGCTGAGGAGGTGCTTGGTAGATATTTGAGGACTGAATGAATTGGATTCCTGCATAGTCCTGGAAGGTTAGGAAGATGAAAGCACCAGGTAGAGAAGGAAGCTGAAGTTCAGGGAGGGCAAGTGACTTGTCTAAGGTCACACAGCAATGGTGGATTGTATTCCTGAAGCATTCTCTGAGCACTGGTTGGAAGGCAGGCTGTGCATGCTCTAGGAATGGAGATATGGCTGTGAGCATCATGTGCCCTGGAGTATCCCTGGGCCTTTGGTATTGCTAGTCCCTCTGTGTGAACACTGCTCCTCTGCCTCTTTGCCTGGAACAGTCCAACTCACCCTTCAGGTCTCAGTGTAGAAGTCACTTCCTCTGGGAAGTTTTCCCTGACCCTCCAAATCAAGATTAAACATGTACCTGTGGTCTTGAATGGGAGAACTCCCTTCATGGTACCCCAACCTGTCAAAACGGGCTGACCAATCAGAGCACTGTGATTCCTTGTGATTGGTTCAGGAGGGAGCAGGTGACCCAAGCAAGGCCAATCAGAATTTTTCCTGGGATGGATCTATGGGAACTGGGGAGAGGGAGGCACTTTTCTCCTTGATGATGCTAAGCTCAATGTCTGTAATTCTGGGGCTGCTGGAGTCCCTTTCTCAGCCACTGCAACACATCACCTCCTGTTATAGACAAGTCCCACAGGAAGATGCAAATGCAAGGGCTGAGCAGCAGGGGCAGTACATGTGGTCTTGGTCTTAAAAGAGTCAGGCAGCAAAAAGCATGTGAAGTCAGGAAAGAGGATAGATTTGGGGATTAGACAGGCCTGGGTTTGTCACTTACCAGTTGTGTGTTTTGGGGCACACGCCTCTGGGCCTTGGCTTCCTCCTTTATAAAATGCGGGTGATGCTATCTACCTGTCCTGAAAAGGATGCCAGGTAGGGAGGCCACCTGTCTGGAAGGGGTTTGCTGCTCTGACAGCATCCGCCCGGTCTCCTCCCTGTGGGCAGGCCCCATTCGCCCTGCTGCTTCCTGCTAGCATACCCCCATGGCAGGATTCCTTTACGGATGTACGCTGTTTCTGTGGAACCAAAATCCCATCACAGCATCTTTCTGCCAGCTTGTTTGTGATATTTCTTAATGACCCTACAGGAGCTGGGATGTCAGCATCTTCCTGTTTCCTGGAGCCTGTTTCCTGTTTCCTGAGCCTTTCAGCTCAACCTTGACCTGTCCCAGAGTACAGACAGATGAAGAAAGGGTTACTTTCTCTCCAGGCTGGGAAGGCTGAGGAATGCACCCTGATGGAGAAATAAGTGGGTAGTTCCCCTGATTAAGTGGTCTATGGTCCCTGTTGAGCTCAGGATAAAGGCCAAAGTATTTCACGTGGCTTATATGGCCTTGAATGATCTGAGGCCTGACATGAGGGTGACCTTGCCAACCTCAACAGGTACTGTCTCCACTTCACACTCTGCTCTAACCCCCAGAACTGCCCTGAGTGAGGTCCTCTCCCCTTCCAGCTTTGCACACATTGTTCTGTCTACCTGGACTGCCTTCCCTGCCCGTCCCAGTCCTCAGGTCCTTACCCAGCAGCCCTTTGTTGTTGGAAAGACAGAATTCAGAAGCTGTTTCCTAACCCGTCATAGGGATCCAGGCTTGGCCAATAGTCATTTCAGGATCAGCCCTAAGTCGCAGGGAAAGGGGACACTGAGCTCTGTGAACATGCTCGGCACCTTGCCTGTTGTGGGCATTGGCCACAGGTCAACTTCGAGGTCTGTTTACCAGGGCATTTCTAAGGGGGTGTGAACTTGAGGCCAGATAAAGAGCTTGGAGAAATCAGGTTGCAATGAGCACCGGCTGGAGCTTTATGTCTGAGCTTTCAGTAGCTTTAGTCCTTCAGCTCTTCCAGCACCTCCTGGCAATCTGGCTTCTTCCTGTCTGCCCAGAGCCACACCTCAAATTACAGGCACACCTGGGGGATATGGTGGGTTCAGTTCCAGACCACCGCAATAAAGCGAATACTGGAGTAAAGTGAGTCACACGGAATTTTTCGTTCGCGAGTACATATTAAAGTTGTATTTACACCATATTGTAGTCTATTAAGTGTGCGAGGGCATTGTGTCTAAATAAACAAGGTACGTACCCTAATTAAAAAATGCTCTATTGCTAAAAACTGCTAACCATCATCTGAGCCTTCACCCAGTCGAAATCTTATTGTAACAGTAACATCATAGATCACTGATCACAGAAACATATAGTAATAAGGCAAATGTTTGAAGTATTTCAAGACTTACCAAAATGTGACACACGAAGTGAGTAAATGCTTTTGGAGAACTGGCACCGATAGACTTGCTTGACACTGGATTGCCACAAACCTTCAATTTGTAAAAAATGCCGTATCTGAAAAGCCCAATAAGGCAAAGCATAATAAAATGAGGCATGCCTGGCCTGCTCAAATTCCAGATCCTTAGTTCCTACAAAGCAGGAAAAAACCCGTTTAGTTATACCTGGCAGAAGAAATGGCAAACACATGGCATGCATGCTGCCTCTTGGTACTCCACTGCCCATGGCAGACATCAACAATCAATCATGGTCTTGGCCTCAGTACCTTTTCAATGTAGCACCTTAGGCAGAAGCAATCTATTCCCACTCCTCTCTTACAGGTTTCCTGGAGTAGAAAATAGCAGACACTCACCATTCTAGGACATACTCTTCGTATTCTATCACAAGATCCTGTGACACCCCACCTGAGGGCTTTCTCTTGGCCCATCCGGGGGCAGGCTGGGAGAGCCAGGGAGTTCCTGCCCTCAGGAACAGTCCTCAGCTAGTATGGTTGAGAGTGTGAGGATAATACTTTGGCTTTCTCATTCCTAGACGGGTGATGGAATTATGTCCCTGCAAATTCATATGAAGTACTAACCACCCGCCGTACCTCAGAATATGAACGGACTTGGAAATGGGTTGCAGGAGTAATTAGTTAAAGCGAGGTCAGTAGGGTGGGCCCCGATCCAATATGACTGGCGTCCTTCTAAAAAGGGGACATTTGAACACAGAGACACACACAGAGAATGTCATGGAAAGACAGGAGCTACCCTGCCGCAAGCTATGGAACTACCAGAAGCTAGAGAGAGGCCCCTTGCTCCCTGCTCAGTACCTTACAAGGAAGCCTGGCCTTGCTGACACCTCGATCTCAGGCTTCCAGCCCAGGACGGGAGACAATGCATTCCGGTGGTTTCAGCCACCCCGCCTGTGTACTTGGTTATGCAGCCCAAGCTGACTGGTACAGCGGGTCAGCCCTGAGGTGTGCCCCGCTCTGCTGCCCAGAGTCCTGCAGGGGCATCGGGCTTCATTCACCCACAGCAGCCTGTTGGACACGACACCCTCTACAGTGTCCTTCCCTTCCTGTCTCACTTCCCCAGCTCCCTGCCAGGGCCATCTGGAGTCACGTCCCAGATAAGCTACTTTCTCTAGTGTCTTTTTCTTAGGGTCTACCTCTGAGGAAACTGGCTCAACACAGCACAAAATTGATCTGTCCTTCCCTTCCCTTGGGTTTTCCAGTCCTGGGCCCCCTGCCTTCCCACAGCATCACCCTTCTCCCTGCTTCTGACCAAAGGCTCTCCCGAAGAAGTAGCCTGGCCCGGGGGTGGCCTGGGTGTGGGCGTGGTCTCTGCCTCTCCTCCCCCACCAGACCTTCTCACCTGTGTGCGAGACCCCCTGACCGTCATGTTACCGCTGCCTGGGGGCAACGACCTGCGTGATCCCAAGCCCAGGAGGCGGAGCCTTCATCTAGCCACACCTCCACCTCTTCCTGGGAGATGTTTTCCTGAGTTCTCTTCATTGCAACCCCAGGCCCCGGGATCCCCTCCCTGAACCTCTATCAGGAGAGATGGATCAGACTGTTTTCTGGGTGATCTGATGAGCAAGACTTGTTTGAGCTTGTAATAAATAAATTATAAATAAAATAATAAAAAGAGCTACCATTTACTGAGTGCTTACCGCGCAGGGTGAGAATTTACACACCTATCTCGCCAAATGCACACAGCAACCCGATGAGAGGGATACACTGCTGTCTCCACGTCTCAGAGGAGCAAGCTGAGGCTTGAGGAGGGTGAATAACATGCCCACGGTCTCCCAGCTGTGGCAGCAGAGCTGAGATTCACACCCCTGACAGCAAACAGCAGAGGGTGAAAACACTGGGCACTGCGGCGGGTGGGTCCGAGGCTGACCCGCACTCCGGCGCCCCAATGAGGAAGGGCAACGGGCGTGGAGGAGTTTCGTGTGTGTAGGAATAAGACTTCACTTGTGGAAAAGTACGTATTGAGAACCTACCGTACAGCACAGGGAACTCTACTTAATGCACTGTGGTGACCCGAACGGGAAGGAAGTGCAGAAGGGAGGGGATATATGTATATGTATGGCTGATTCATTTTGCTGTACAGTGGAGACCAACAC